TGGGGTCATTTTACCAAATCCAAATTCTGTAACTGGCACTTTAACTTGCAAATACTGGTAGGCAGCTAGCAAGGAACAGGGCATAAAATGGACTCGGGTTGGTCAGCCTTACAAAGAAAACAGTGCATACACCAAGTTAAGAGCTAACTCAAGCCATATAGATATCCTATTTCCCTGAAAATAAGACCCAATGGGAAAATAACCCCTAGTATGACTTCTCAAGATGCTCATACTATAAGCCCAACCCCCAAAAGGAGCCCCAGTTAAGATCATCAACTAGACAGATGGATTTAGTATGTCTGTTGCCACACACGATGAATTATGATGGTGCTCCAGACGACATGACTATAGTTGAATAAATGCAGATTTTTGTACATGAATACATGAATAAGTATAGTGTTGTATGTGAATAAATGTAGATTGTCATATATAAAAAATAAGATATTCCCTGAAAATAAACCCTATTACATCTTTTGGAAAAAAATTAATATAAGACCCATCTTATTGTGGGGAAAATATGGTAGCTAAGATCAGAAATATAAAAGCAGATGTGGGAAAAAGAGTAAGAGCTCAGATAAGGATAGGCAGTTAAAGACTCTGACTCCCAGGAAAGCAACTCTTTAGGTGGAATGGAATGCACCAAGTGAACCATCCCTCCCTACTTCTGGTCTGGGAGCTGGGCTCCTAGGAATTCCAAGACTGTAAGAAACTGGTTTTTCTTTTGAACTCTGCATTAGAAAGCCTAAGTCTCTTGAGCTGGGGATTTAGCTCAGGGCACTGTGATCCCCAGAACCAGAACAAAAAAAAAAAGAAAGCCTAGGTCTCAACTGGTTATTTTAAACCCACAAGGCCACCTGTGATAGGTGACTACTGGACACTGAGAAAATTCCCATGCTCTGCATACCATAAAAGACCCTAGATAAAGAGCTTCCCTGGCAAACCCACTTTTGGGACCCCTCCTGACAACCACAAGCTTGCTTTCTTCTTATACTTCCAATCAGCACTCCTGTTAGCTGACTCCTTTTTGTCCGTGATTTCATTCTTTGACTTTGGGGGTTAATGGCCCAGATTCCACTTCCAAAGGAAGCAGCCTCAGGCACACTGACAGTTTAGGTGTGTTTTCCTGGAGTAGAGTAGAGAACCTTCTAGAAGTGAAGTAAGTGCTACAAGGGCACACACAAGAGTCTGCTCCCTGTCCCCATCTTCCTTCCCAGCCCCTCTAGTGCTAAGGCCACCCCAAGGAGGTTCCAAGAGGACAGGAGAGCAACTCTAATGCTCTTCCACACAGACACATGGGCTGACATTCTCTGAAGAAGCCGGCTTAGGCTTAAAGATCCTGTTGACTGCATGCCCTGGATGAGCAAAAGCCGAAATTATGTTGGGCTACCTTAGATACTTTAGAAAAATAGCCACTTACTTTTAACCTTTGCAAGTGACCTAACATCCTCATGCTCATTAGGTGACCCTCTCCAAATGTACAGTTAGGATTAGCAGACCTCACACCTCCATCTACCCCAAATCCAAGAGTGCTGCCCAATAGCATCTGAAACTACAGGAAAAATTCCCCGATATGCTGCAGCCAACCTACCTAATGCCCCTACCAAGGCATGTGTTAGACACATTGATTTATGACTTTTTCTTTTTACAGCATTGGGGACTGAACCCAGAGCCTTTGCACACAGCTACATCCCCAGTCCTTTTTTATTTTTCATTCTGAGACAGGGACTCACTAAGTTGTTAAGTTGCCCGGGCTGGGCTTGAACTTGTGGTCCTCCTACCTCAGCCTCCCAGAGTGCTGGGAATATAGGCATGCGCCACCACACTCAGCTAACTTATCACCTTCTTTATTCTGTGGCTATACAGCTCAGGTAACCTCTTCCATGACAGAACACATCCATAACTCAGGATAACCCCAATCTATATTCCTAGGCCAGGGTCACCCATATTGGCTCAGAATAAAATACTTTCTACTTCCTTTAAAAAGCAGAGTTGGGGAAGGGTGGAGGGAGTGAAGGGCCCACAGGTAATGGGGGAAAAAATAAGAACGAAGATACATCATGTTCAGGTACAAGCACCCAATGATAAATGTAAACATATTGTATACCTAAAATGTACCAATAAACATATTAAAAAATAAAAAATAAATAAAAATAAAAAGCAGAGTTGTTATTCCATGTGGTTGGCAGCAAACTCCCAGCCCAAAACAATGAGGGCAGTCAGACCCAGCCACCTCAGCAGAAGCCAGGCTGGACCCCAACACAGGCAGCTATGGGCACTGAATAATCAGAGGACAAAGGATCCCATATAAACATCCCCTCCTTCATGGGGCTACTGCAGAAATTAGTACTACTGAGGCACAGAACACTCAGCACGGCCCTAGCTGGCCAATTCCAATCTTCCCTGAGGGAGGATATAGGAAATAAGGATAAGTAGAAAGGAGACAAGGAAAAATCAGAATTTTAAATTTTTACTTTTAAGAAAACCTACAGCTTCAGGACATAAGCTCAGTTTAATTTGTTTTCTCTCTTCTTCCAATATACAATAAATCTGGGCAATTCTCCTTCACCTGAAAATGGGCCTTCTCATCTGTGAATGGACTACCTCTTTCATCTATAAATTGTGCTTATCCTCAGGGAAGCAGCAATATTAGTGGGCAGCAGATCTCAGCTTCAAACACATGCAAACAGCTTTCATCCTATCATGGCCTGCCAACGGGTAACAGTCGGTCTACACAGTCAGCACACGCATCCGAGATCACCCATCCTGAGACACCCAGAGGCCTTAATATTCCCAGCTCCAGATCAGAATGCACCTCTTCTCCTGAGAGCCCAAATTCTATTTCTTTGAGTACACATGAAATTCCTGCTTACTAACTCCCTTTATGCCTCTTACTGGTTTCTACAGGGGGAGTCAGTGAACCTGCAACTTAATAGTACAGGTCAGGTGGGTTTAGGGCCCTGTCTGGTGACAGGCATTGTCACCTGGGACACAGGCTTGGAGGTGGTCCACCCATCTACCAAGGTGAGAAGTAACAGTCTGGGGCAAGAACCACGTTGGCATCTGTGGAGGCATCCGGTTTGGGAACAGAGAAGAGGAGGACTGAGGCTCTGCTGCCTCCACTTCCAACCCTGCCAGGGGTCATGAGGGAGGGATCACTATTTAAAAGGCTCCGTGTGTCCCATCAAGTCCTTGGGACAGGATAAGGGGCCTTTAAAGCAGGGGGATCTGCATCTCAGAACAGTGGCCCTGCAGGTCCGGGAGCTCAGTGCAGGCTGCAGACACAGCCTGTGTGTGTCTGCCACACCCCTGGGAGCAGCGTGTCCTGGGCTCTCCAGCCCCTGCCTGCCAAGTGCCCTGAGCCACACACTCCCTGCAGGGCCCCATGTGCGGCTCCACGCTCTACCCGGGCTCCCACCTGAGCCCTGACCCCCCACATGTCCAGAGGCCCTCTTGCTAGTGTCAGGGGCTCAGACACAGCCCACCACAGGCCCTATGCACACAGCCATCCTGGCAGCCACCTTGAGCCATCTCCCTCCAGCTTCAGCCCTCAGGGCCTGGGGATGGGGTCAGGGTCTCTACCACACTCCTCCCAGAGACCCAGCCTGCTCAGGTTCCTCTGGACTCTGCCCCACACCCTACCACCCCTGCTCAGGACTCAGACCCCTCCTGGAATCAAGGCGAGTCCCCCAAGGTCCCCCCAGGAATGTATGGACAGAACAGAGGTCAGAGTGCATTTCACAACAGCATGGTACATACACTGTGTGCAGTTCTAGCCAGGAGTCATTTAAGGGCTGCAAACAAAAAGCAGCAATGCTAAGGAGAGGGAAATGCTAATTACCTGATAAGATCCGCTCACCCTGCCCGAGTGTGCTGAAATATCACACAGTGCCTCCTTAATATTCTAATAAATACCTCCCTACATTCAGTTAATACATGTTAATCAGAAACTGACCTTAAATTTAATAAATAAAAATAAAATGATCTATATGGGTGCAGGAAGAAAATACAGGGAGGCAGCCAGGTGATCTACACGGATGTGCACACGCACTCTCCCCAGTGCACACTCATGCACACAACCACACACTGCCCCTGCACATCTGTCTACATAGCCACACACTCACCAGTGCACACATCTAACACAGATGGCAGCCACTTCTCCACTGCGTCTTCTTACTTTTCCTAGGACACAAATACTGGGTTTCACTGTGGTGTCTACAGATGACGAGAAATGGTGCATGTTTCTAAACGTCCGGTGTGTGGAATGACAGCCTGGATTTACAACAGAAGCAGAATGCAGCTGCGAGCTGGACGCTCTCCTACCACCACCCTGACCAACACATCCTGAGACCTCAGTGGTTGGCACTTGGAGGGCCCCTGAGCCCCACCTTGAGGAGCAGTCAGGGTCCCCGGAGATGGTGCTGTGATGAGCCAGGCCTCATGCTGAGGCTCTCAGTCACCCATCCCTGCCCCCAGCAAAGCCCCTGAGCAGCAGACATGGACACAGGGGATGTGCTAGCCATGGGAGCTTCCTGCAGGCCTGTTCCACCCTGACAGGCACAGCAAGGAGCCCATGGCAGGCACTGTGGGGTCTTCCACTGTGTCCATGAGACCCTCTTCAACTCCCAGGCGCCCCGGAAGCACCAGCGTGCCCTGGGTCAGCCACACTGAGCCAAGGTGATGATCCCTCAGCCCCCGTCCCAGCTCCATCGCCAGCAGGTCAGAGCAGGCCACAGATTCACACTCTCCTAATGTGTGGCCAGGACCCACCTGGTCCTCCTGAGGCCAGAGGAGCCTACCCAGCTGCATCTGGAAGACAAGCACTCAAGGCCACCCCTGTTGCCATCCACGGCTGAAAAGCAGCTCAGCCCCTGCAGGGCACCCAGGCCCATTGATCTCTCCATGGCCCCACACACCAGGTAACACCAGGATCACAGCCCCTGCCACTGAGCAGGAAGCCCAGGCTCGGGAAGGCCCTCAAAGCGGCCCACTCATGCCCTCACCTGCTTCTCGTTCTCATCCTCCAGCCGCAGGCGGTCCTCGATGCAGCCCCGGGCCTGCAAGAAGGCCTTCCTCTGCGAGCGCTCCGTCACGATGCGCACGAACACACCATACATGTTGACGCCCGCGAAGAGCAGTGCGTTGGCCCCGAGCTGCAGGGACAGAGCAGACACAGCATGTGGGGCTGGTCAGGTGCACACAGCCTCTGGGGAGCATTCAGAGATCACCACAATGACCCCACATCACCCCCAAGAGGCCACCCACACCCACAGCACTGGAGGCCTCAGGCCAGGCACAGGGCCAGGCACACTCGTCGGGCCTGCATGGCGGCAGGAAGTTGAGTAGAATACAAGGCTAGCATTATGGGCTTAAGTTTGTTCCCCCAAATTCATATGTAGAAGCCTTTACCCCAGAACCTCAGAGTATTTACATCCGGGGCCTTTAAAGGAGTACTGAAATGAGGTCAGTAGGCTGGTCCTGATCCAATCGCACTGGTGGCCTATGAGAACAGGACACTGGACAGGAGGGACACAAGGGAGAACATGGTCTATAAGCTGAGCACCCGGAAGAAACCAGCCCTGTGGCTCCTTCAGCCTGGACATCCAGCCTCCAACGCTGGGCAGAAAACCTTTCTGTTCCTTAAGCCCCATCCAGGACCCAGGTGCCCAGGCAGCAACAGAGGGAAGAACGACTGCTCTCAGAGACCCCATGGAACATCCTAAGAAGGCTCAGGGAAGGTGAACTAACGGAAGCAAAACCCAGGCAGACTTGGGCATGAAGCAAACACCAGCCCACCATGAGGAGATGCAGCACCTGGAGACTTGTCCCTGCAGAGCCCTGGGGCTTCCCCCGTGACAGCCACCACCTGAGGCCAGCTGTGAAGGCCTGGCCAGAAAGATGCTGCTGCTTTGGTTGCAACAGGATCCCAACTGGAAGTGGTGGTGATGCCCAGTCCCCCCAGCCTCTGGAGCATGAGGATCTCATCGCAGCCTGGGCCACTCAGCCACTCAGCAAGACTCTACCTCAGAACTCTGCATAGCTCAGTGCCAAGGCCCAGGTTTCAGTTTCTATTACTGGGCAGTGGGGGGTCCCAGGCACGTAGTGTTTCTGATTTCCTGGCCTGACCCAGCTTCAGCCAAGCCCTTGCAGGACCGAGAACAGAGGGACACCCTGCCTGGTCACATGGCCAGACTCGGTAGCCCAGGATGAGGCTCAGCCCCAGGCATCAGCCCTAACTGCTGGCGCAGTGGGACTACTGGTCTAGTCTGTCCCGACACCCCAGGCCACAGGCCCAGAGCCATGTAGGACCATGACAGGTTCCCCCTGCAGGGAACATCCACCCTCACCCAACACAGGCCACAGGCACCGTGTGAACAAGTGTCCCCATCAGCTGAGGAAGCAAGGAATCTCTGCATCTGCTTACACCCAGCATTTCTGCCTCTGCCCAAGGGAACTGGAACCTGCAGTTCCCAAATATCACTGACCCTCAAGGATCTGCCACAAATGCCCCGGACATGACTGTGCACCACACTCTGTGAAGCAGAGCACCCAGGGACAGGCAGGGGAGGGGTCCAAGGACAGAACTCCCACAAGACAGGGTCACTGACTGAGAGGAGCCACAGGGACAGCAGGGGTCTCCAGCAGCCTGCAGAGGAGACCTGGAAGTGCCTGGCACCCCTGAGTGCTGGGCCAGGGAGCAAGTAGGACAGTCCATGGAGAGAGGGCAGAGAACATTTAAGCACCTTCTAACTCGAGGTGTCTGAAATGACCTCTGTTAAAGTAAATTAAAATGATGGGCAGGCTGGAAGCCCCATTTATGAACTGAATCTAAAATGTCCCTGAAGGCCAAGTGACGGGCCTTCAGGAAGTGACTGGATCACGAGGGCTGTAACTGCATCAGCAGCTTAATCTACTGATGGATTAATCATTGGGTGGCATTGCTGGGAGGCGAAGGAAACAGGAAGTGGGGCCTGGTGGGAGGGACTGGATCACAGCACGGGGTCTTGGGCACTTGATCTGGCCCCCAGCCCCAGGACCCTGGCCCCCAGCCCTGCTTCCTAGCTTCAGTGAACTGAGTACCTTTGCTCCTCCTGGCCCTGAGCAGGTGAAGCCAAAGGTGCGGACATCTCCCAAGTGACCTTAACCTCAGCTGATTTGCAAACACAGGGCAACCTTAATGTGAGCTGTTTCTTGGCAAATGCAAGAAAACGAGAAAGTTTAACCAATGGAAGCAGCCAGTAAACTTACAGATATATACGGAGGGAACAATCAATCGGGCAACCATCACCAGACCATTTTTTTGCTACAAGTGTATCCATGAACATTAAACCTCTTTTGATTTAGTGTTTCCCCTTCATGAATTGCATCTGACACAAACTCTTTATAAATTCTACTGTGCCTCAGTTTACTTTTCTACACCTCAGGGACTTGTCCAACATGAGGCTAGAAATACCGTCCAGTCAACAGTCAAGTGCACTCTAGAAATGGATCGTTTCCGAGTGGTGACCAGGGAGTAAGGACAATGACCATGGATCTGCAGGGCCCCAGTGAATGGCCAGCCTCTGTCCGAACCCCCAGACTCAGGTCCACCTGATCCAGAGGGGCTGACACTGACCCCATACACTGGCAATCAAGGAGTTGATTTTCCTGGATGTCACCACAGTGGGAAGGCGGTCGTGTGGGGAAGGGTCAGAGGGTGGCAGGACGTCCAATGGCATGGTTTCCTAGATCCCTGAACATCATTACGGTGACCCTGAAATCTCCACAATGACAATGAACACAAGATAGCTCTGCACAAGGGCCAGGGATTTAGCTCAGTGGTTTCACCGCCTGCCTTGCAAGCGCAAGGGCCCGAGTTCAATCCCTGGTACCAAAAAAAAGATAGCTCTGCACAACAATGTCACTGTAGCCCTGAATGCCTCCATGCAATCTCGAAAATTTCCAGGTGACCCTGAGCAATGACTTCACTGTGACCTGAACCTTTCCCTGCAACCCTGAACACCTCACTGTGACCTGAACATCTAATTGTGAGCTTGATCCCTGAACGTGACCTGAACACCTTCATGTGACTCAACACCGGCCATTTCTCTTCTGATACTTTTTCCTGAGCTGCCATCTTGGATAGCTTTTGGACCCAGCTTTTCCACGAACACGCCAGCCAGGCCGTTAGGATGTACTAAGTGCCTTGTGTCACTGTGCTAACGACCTCGACACACTGCTTGGAGGACTGTACTGTCTTTTGCAGAACCATGCTCTTGAGCTGGGATTCCTGGTGACTTCTCAAGCTTTGTCCATCTCATGACGAGAAGTCATGGATCCAAGGACAGAGGTGATGTCCTGATTGGTTTTACACCCTTAGCGCTCCCACAGCTTGCTCCAGGGCAGAAAATGCACCTTGCTAAGTCCTTCCAAATGGGCCAGCCCCGAGTGCTGCCCCATAGCTCTGGAGATGTAATCGCTCTTCAGCCTTCTGCTAATTTCAATGCAGTGCAGGAGCTCTTGTTGAATGAGCACACAGATCACAGCGCTATGGTAAACACCGGCCTTTCCCACCCCTCCCTGGCTGGCACATCACACTCCTGCGAGCTCATCCACACCACCTGCCTGGCTCACCCGGAAGGGTCCCCAAGGCCTCCCAGATGCAACGTACAAAATCAGAGAGGGCCAGGCTACCCAGTCTCCTGGAGCTCACCGAGGCAGGGACGAGTGTGTCGCTCTGCACACGCTCAGCACAGCACCCACACTGCTTGAACAAGCGCTGTGCACCTCGTCCTCTCTGCACATACGTGTCCTTAGAAACATCCAGGATGAACACATGAGCCTTTGGGCCATGCCCATGGCCTTAGACCTAGGAGTGTTTGGGTAAGGAACTCAGCCAGAGGAAACCCAGCTAAGTAGCCGGTCATGTGTCGGGCTCAGGGCTCTGGGGCCGTTAAGAGCAGTGGGTCACAGCTGAGGAGAGAACATATACCAAGCTTGGGAGACCATGCGGCCCCGACAGACAGCACTGAGGCGTGAGAGCCAGGCGGGGCCCTGGGGAAGAACGCAGTGCGGGCAGGACACAGGCTGTGTGTCTGGATCCACGTGCTGAGTGGGCCGGACTTCGGGGATCCCACAGCCCCCTGCACAAGCTGGGAGATGTCAGGGCCACCAGCCAGGGGACTAGAAGGATGTCCACACCCTTGCCCCAGCACAGGACAAGAGCAGGGGCTGAGGGTGGGGGACGGAGGCAGCGGCCTCTCAAGGACAGGGCGCACCGACGAGCTAGACAGGAAGACGAGTGCCAGTGCAGATCCGGCCAATCATCAGGCACCGTGGGGCCCGGAAGGGGCCACTGGCCGACCAGACAAGGCCGCCAGAAAGGCCTGCACAGGAAGTCACCAGCCCCTTCCCAAAGGACATGAAAGCCCTCAAAATATAACTATAATTAAGAACAACACAATCTCCCTTTTGAGATTCGTCCACATCTCCACTTTCTTTCTCTTCTGGCTTCCTCCCAGAACACAATGGACTCAGATTGCAGAGTAAGAAAGGGAGTCAGAGGGGGACAGCTGGTGCCTCTGCTCGTCAGGATGGCTGACCAGTCCTCAAGGCCCTCTCTTCCTCCCGGTGCGCATCCACGGCCGAAGCCCCAGGGGTCTCGGGACCTGGAGCAGAGCCGGCCTGGTTCCCCCCTACTTGGCCAACTGGAGCAGTGGGTCCAGTTCTGGCCCATCTGGAAGTGGTCTACACCCCACCAGCGTTCCCACCGGCCCCAGGGCAGCCCTGGACACCCTCGCTGGCCTCAGCCATGTTCCCCTCTTTCTGAAGCCGCATCTCCCCCTTCTGCTGCTGTCACGTCTTCCTGATCGCGCCTGTTTCCAGGTCTTTCCCTTGGGCTCCCACCCACCTGTCTCATGAATGGATGTATCGGAGGTGGGGGGCGCAGCTGAGGCCTCTTAGCTACTCCAGATAGAGAGGGGAGCCCCGACTCACCACTCCACAGTGCTCCATGCCACGGTACCCCCTCTACCCATGTGCACCCCAGGGTCGTGTGATATCACAACACTCAGGCAACACCCACGGCGGGGGGGGGGGCCTGCAGCACTGACAGCCCTGGAAACAGCCCCTCCTCCCCGCCCCCTTGCTTTCCTGGCAGCACTGGCCCCATCAT